GAGAAAACTTATCAAAAATATGGGTCAAGAAATTTCTTTCGATATTTGCCCAATTTGAACTCAAATTAAAAAAAGAAGAAGTTCGTGAAGATAGACCCGGTTCCATCACCGGGAACCCAGTTATACTGGGTTCGCTACCTGAGGCACTGGGTCGCCCAATTTTATCAGTCATTACAGCTTTGCAAGGATGAGTAAGTGATCATATCGATCACCCTGCATGTCAGCCATGGTTAGCGCATGGTGTTCGTGTAAATAGATGGAAACCAAAATTTTCTAAGGCAAAGTTTGATATTGGAATCTAAAAATTAAAATAATTAACGGAAAAGCTGGTGCAGCAGTTTGTTTGCACAGTGTCTACGCGAATGAAGAATCGCTCAGATGCTTCAAAAATTACCTTAACTAAAGCAGTCTAGAATCGATGCACAAAAACCTGTCTGAAACAGCAGTACCATCTGCTGTGATTTCTCTGCAAAAAAAAACTTGTCTGCAACAGCATAAAATTGGCTGTAATGTCTCTGGCAAAAAGCTGTCAGCAACAGCACTGAAAATTGCTGTGGAAAAAAAAACAGAACAGAATTCCGTAAAGGATCGTACACGCGCGACTCGATCGCAGAAGACGCAAAATTACCAGTCAGACACGAGTTTAGCATCGTAGACTGAATGCACTAAAGTTGCAATAAAAAAGGGGAAAAGAAGCGTGTGTTCAGACAAGCGAACGAACAGTGTTTGAAACCAGTGACTTAATATCTATAAATTTTGTTGTATCGATTTTGCCTTTGAAAATGAAATGTCCGTTTATTTGCGTGAATACGGTGTGATGTTGTGGTTTTTGTGTATGGTTAACCGCTGATCAAAGTTGAAGTTCAAGTTCGAGCGAATGATATCATCGACGGAACCGCATTCATTATAAAAATGAGTCAGGGAATGTAAAATCCAAAACATTTACAAAATGAAAATTTGGTTCAATCCGGTTTTTCCTAAAAGCATTCCAAAACAAAATTCATATTATTCCGCTGTATTACCTGTATTTCTTCTAACCGTATCAAGTATGAATATTATTTGCACAGTGTTATTTGCTCTTCCGTGGATGTGTTTCGAAAATTTCAAGTGCAAAAAATAGTTGCTTTATGGTATTGCTGCTTGGCTGGCTTTTTTTGCTTTCTTATAGTAATTATGGACTGCGGACAGTCCTTTCACACGGAGAGAAGTGTCACATATTGATTTTTAAATAGATAATTAAGCATTGGTGCTCTGATTCATACACAATACGCTTGCTGTTTACTGATTCATTAGGGCGATGTGTCCGCGTATGTTATCTGTTTTCCTCCTTCTTTCTTGCTGGTTGTTTACCTACATATACGGCTGTTCTTTACTTCTAATGGCATTCTTATTCATGCATGCATTCAGTCAGTACCACTTCCGACGGTACACTTTGCACTTCTGCCTGATTTCTTTCCTAATAAAAATTCCCTGCCTGGCATTGCCTTTCCGTTCGTTACCGCTAATGCATATTATCATATGTTAGCATACCGGCCGATTTAGCCGTGCCGTGACCTTTAATTACTTTGCACTGCCATAGATTATGTAACACTTGAATACTTGTTTTAGTTACTAAAACGGCACTCTGTCAAGATCCCTGTAGTGCAACAACAGCTGCAGTGATCTTAATGATAACAGGATCTCGGCACAGGTCCCTTGTTGTAGCACTGGTCTAGATGTCGAAGCCCACTATATACGTTAATACTCCATATATTAATACTCCTTCTGAACATTTCATAAGAAAATTGCGTGTAGACGCGTGGACCGATTTTGAATAAATGTGGAAGACGTTCGAAAGGTTCCTTTGTACCTATTGTACTCTGGGTGTAGCTCACTTTTGGGTCGGCAGAGTTTACTTTTGCCACCCGTTTACCTTTGCCGTTTCGGTTTACCTTTTGCAAATTTACTTTTACCTTTGGCTTTACCGCAGTTAAAACCATTGCAGTTTTAATTACCACTCTAAAAAACCTCCTTAAGGGAAGTGGCTCGGCAAAATCGTGTACATGCACGAAATATTTTACTTTCGAGCACTCCCAAACCCTTTTTTCTCTTGTTTTATGACATTTTGTAGCCAGATAATTTGTATATACAGGCGAGAAAACCGTTTGTGCGCGCAAGATCCGGTTCGGCAGTTATGGCTCTTAAAAAATTCCAAAAAGTTTAAATGCATTCAGGTGGACCAACAGTCTCATTATGGACCGATCTCCTTCATATTTGCACGTAAATGCACATAACCACGAAAATCGTTTTTACACCGATCCAGAGTTCCATGATTTTTTTCAAATTTTAAAATGAATTTTAAATTTATTTTGAAATTTGAAAAACAAAGTCACATCATCTAATACACCAGTTTGCTTGGCATCTTAATAATTTTTGCAAATAACTTCCCAGCCAATACCAGATATTGCGCAGTACGCGGCTTTCACATGCATACAAAGTACAAATCGTTTGACTACAAAATATCATAAAATAGTGCAAAGAATGTTCGGGAATATGTACGCAAAAGCAGAAGTTTCCGTGAAGTCAAAGTGAAGTTAAAGTCAGCCTTTGTATCCGTCTGAAGACTCTTGAACTAAGCTATTATAGGACCCTACGATTCTACGGCGATATCAGCAAACGCTGAATTCAAAACTATAGCCCGGTTCAAAATAGACCGCAAATTTAGTAGATCCTGTCAGTTGAAAGAATTCTGCAAAAGCTGAGTAACGTACAAAATGAGATAAGCGCTCGTAGCTGGTCCATATTGTGATGATCTGACGATGTGTCTTTTGCACGTTTGTATCCACAGCCTAAACTTCAGCCAGGCCAGAATGTGCCCAAACACCTTGCGGCATGCCAACAGCGGCAGCGCCACCTGTATCCATAGTTCAGCCTGATATGGGCCAGAATGTGCCCACGCTGATCCAAATACCTGGTGGAGGATACGCGTGGATTGCGTCCAACGGAACCATCCAATATCCGCCTCAACCAGTAACGAATCCTTTACAAGGACATCAGCCAGCCCCGGCACAACAGGTACTGCAGCCACCGCCTCAGGTAGTGGTACAGCAGATAATACCTGCACCGTTGCCATGGGCCAGTCCATCTCCGCATAGCATGGAGGTCATTAAGGAATTGGCCAACGCCTACGCGCGAAGGCCACCGTCTGCACCGCTTTGCCACAGTTCAAATGCGACAAGACAGCGGTAAAGGTATGGATAATCAGGTCAGAAGGATCTGTAAACAGTCCTCCGACTTAAACCGACCGAACACAAACTTTATGGGCCGTATCTACGCGGTTCTAGCGAGCCAGGTGAAGGAATAGTAAACGGGCGAAGCAAAGCGCGAAAAGGCGACTGTTGAACGGTCGAAAGGCGGCTTCATATGGCGACGAGAACCAACAAGCCAGTTCTCAGTGACATATCGACCCGTGTCCACCGACACGGACACGAAACATCAGAGTAATACTATGACGCAATCCTGACCCTCTAGACACGTGCCAATTTAGATGACGCAATGGCCCTGCATTTTCTCAAACAGAATATGCAGGAGCCGGAACTGTTTCGCGCCCTGGACATCCGATTGCCGAAATCGCCCACAGAATTCCGGGACTACATGGGCCAATTAACAGCTAATACAAAGTAAATGAATACAATAAACAGCAGCGTGCGTCACCTGTTTACGATGACGGACAGAACGCCTAAAAGGGTCAACAGCAACTTTCCCTGCCCCCGGGTTCAGTCGTCTCGTATAAGGTTACCGCATTGATCCACGCACTTAACAAAGATACAAATGATTTTTACGTGTCATTCTCGTACAGCAACGGTAGGTCCGGGCTTGCAGCGACTTACATGACGAATGACTGTTACCGATTCGTTGACAATGAACTGGTAAGGGGAGCTAGGTTCAGAAAATTGCTCGTTCGGAATCAGCGTTGGATAATATGTGAAAATAAATGAGCCTTAATAATTTACTGAGGTGGGTGTTCTATGTACATATTTAACAGTACGAGGAACCGTAGATGGTTGCACAAACCCAATAGCTGAAGTTGGTAAGGAAGCAATGCAAACCCCCACGGCTGACTGTTGCTCGGTTGCTGGAATGCAGCCATCCACGGTTGACTGTTGCGTCAATAGCTTACGGAAATGGTGTTCAGTTTAACTCGCTGCAGCTATGCGCTACCGACTCAACTATAATCCTCCTCGCATGTTAGGTGCTTTCCAGCTGACGTTATATTCGAGAGGAGCGGAAAATAATAAAAATTGTTGGTCACAAATAATCGTAGGCGTAGTCCATAAAAGTAAACTTCGTGCTTCTGGAATTCATTTGGGCAAACTAGACTAATCGGTACCAGTCCCGTTACCGCTACGGTGCTATGGCCTATGGGTAACATTACCACAGCGATACCACTAGCAGTAACACTACCAGTAACACTATCAGTAACAGTAACGTTAAATAAAATAATCCCTGGTATTCTTCTTCGCCTCTGCCATGGTGGCCGCACTGCCGGCTTCCAAGCAGAAAGCATTGTCAATTTTTCGTTTAAACCGCAAAAAATTTTCGATTCCCTTGTAACATTTCCGTTTTACCCATTCAACTGAGCATGCTGAATACTGGTTTAATGACACCGGGCCGAGGCACTACAATAAAAGCACAGAAATGTAGATTTTATACCGAGATTAGCTACTGTGCTGATTCACTTTTAATGTGCTAGCCTGCTGCTGGTCATTAAGGGAGATATGCCAGCACATGTTTCCTGATATACTGCTACACTTGTTGCTGATATATACCGCTGCTATTTGCCTTTCTGGCACACTGTTCATCACTTAGTTTGATTCCTCAATTAGAATTCCCGGCTCGAATTACCGTTCTGTGTTTCGACAGTAAACACATCAGTATACTTGACCGGCCGGGTTAGCCCTGCCGTGACCTTTCTTTATTTTACGCTCTGCCATAAAATATGTTACAGAAGCCAACATTAGTAACTGGCATTCATTTTATTCATCTCGTATCGTTTGATAACTACTAAACAAAAATAGTTTTGTTATAGAGGCCCTTCGACAGGAAAAATTTGTGCGCAAATCATAAAAACACGAAGAAAATAATGTAACGTCTCGTTGGTTATATAAATATTTGCGCCACTGAACCACTTGAAGTGCGAACAGCTGCAAGGTTTATCTGGTACACTTCCGCGTTGCCTGGAATAAATGGTTGGTCCTTCCAGAGGGGGCTGCCTATATTCTGCAGCAGAGGAGTAAATTGATGCCACTGGTTCCAGTATAAAAACTCGTACATAAAAGCAGGAGAAACTGTCCCGGAATAGTTGCCGGAACTTGCACATCGGGGAACATTATACACCGCGTTTTTATCTGGGTGTGTAACTCTCAGGTTAGTACAAGCTTCAACTGTGTATTCTGCATCCTGCATGCAGGAAAAATAGCTTTCCGCGCGGATTGTTCCTAGTGCCGCCGGTTGGATTTCGTTGGTTCGGTGAAATGTTTGATAATAAAGGTTAACCACAGAGTTGACTTTACCAAATCCAGCCTGAATATCGTGAGCGATTTTTTCTGCAACCAGTTATCTCTTAACATATCATCTAAAGAACCTATATTTCATTTTTGTATTTATAAAGAAATGCTCGGTCTCCGTTATGGGTTTTAAAAACGAAGAATTTGCAAAAGTTAAAATTAGTGAATTCTGTTTCTAAATAAATTAAAACGTCTTCATGCTAGCTCATTTCCCTAATGATTTCTCTAAATACGAGTACAACGAAGGTGGCATATTTAGAATTGTCATGGGAAAAAAGGCCAACCGAGGCACCCGGCTTCGGTTTGCACGTACGTCCAATATGAGACACACTTGTGAAGACCGTTAAATGTTGCGACTGATGTTAAACTTCAGTTTTCGCATTACGCGGTTTAAAGCAAAGGTTTTGAATAGCGTTGGGTCGGCCCGGCCCGAGCAAGAGGGCCGGGCCGTCGTTTACACGGCCCGGGCCGCGGGCCGACCCGGGCTGCGGCCCGACATGTCCCCGGGCCGCGGGCCGACCCGGGCTGCGGCCCGACATGTCCCCGGGCCGTCTTGCAGCACAATAATACATACTGCGTTCCCTGATGTCATTATGCAAGCGGCTACAAAGAGTATGTCAACAGAAAAGCAGGCGGACATTTCCCTAGAAAGCGTTTAATGCTGCAAAATGAAGAAAAACTCCTTGAAAAATACTGAACTGCATTAAATCCCAATGAAATTATTCGTTTTTTTACGTCTTTTTCCATATTTAACGTCCATAGCGGCCACGGCCCGGTGCGGCCTTTCCAAAAGGGCTGAGCCGAGCACGGCCCGGGTCGCTCGAGCCGCGGCCCTGGGCCGGCCTAACACTAGTTTTGAAATAAATCTCGAAAAGTCTTGCCAGGGCGGGCTTACAGTTCACCCCTTCTGTACTGGTTGGTTTTGGGTATTTTCCTGTCTGGGCATTTTCATGCTTTTTCACGGTCTGCAGCACAGCTGTGCTGGCTGCAGCATCCGTTCTTGACAGTTGGTTTTCGGCTGGAGCGTGGCGCGCCAGGCGCGGTGTGTGCTCAGATTTCGGCATCAAAGCTGTCATCCGGGTTTGCTTTTATTCCACCGTCGAGGGTGCGTGTGCGCTATGTGACATTCTTATAGCTTATCTTGTTGAGCGAAATTTTAAAACGTCAAGGCGCTCAAACAGACGACCTTACAACCGTCAAAAATCACGTTTGAGAAGGGTAACTTCAGTTATGACGAAACAAAGCTATCTTGGTTTTACAGCCAGAGAAAGCAGTTGCTACTGCCGCGGAGGCGAGAAGGCTGCACGCGCGGAGCTAACAGTTGGAAATAGTAAGAAAGTGCCCTTGTAGTAGTGGCTTCGTGAATGCCGGCATGTTATCGTTCCTCAACATGTGCTTGCGCTTTTTCACGAATCATGTGTGCCAGCCAGAACTGCTCGGTACTGGCAGAAAGCCGAACAAGTGGTGGGGTTTGCCAAGAGTGTACACTAGGGGTCTTGGCCCGTCTCTAGGGGTCAGTCTTGGCTTTGCATGCCAGAGTAAGCGAAACAGCCATCAAGTATAAACGGTGTTTAACATACACTAATGTACTTAATGCTTTGTAATAGCATTTATTTTCCTGCACACACTATTGATTGCTGTTGCAAGTACAATCGAGTTCAGTATGGTCGGCAAATTGACTCGTACCAATTTTGCGACACTACGGTCAGCAGACGCTAGTGTGTTTAGTAAGCCTTTACTCTTTAGCCATTATTGTCGTATACAAGTTTACCGGATTCCTTTCGCCCGTATCGCCTGGTCACTAAGGTGGTAATTAGCCTAAAAGCCCTGCCTTAAAGCCTGTAACGTTGTCGGCTGTAACTCTTGCCTTTAGCGATTTTGTTGAGCTGATTGTTCAGTACTTCTACAGTTCTACCTACATGCTAGTCTGTTGATATTCTACGTCTAGCTATATAAGTCACAGTCTTGACATAATTGGTATTAGGTACTTTATGTTGTACGAGCTACTGTGCGCAAGTATGTGTATTCCCTGTTGTACTAGCGATGACGTATTGCATGCGTGTTCTTATCGCCAGCCACCGATCGGAAGCTGCGCTTCTTTGTCGGCTAGCATTTGACAGTGTGTGTGTGTGACCTGGTTTGACTGAACATCAATAAGATTAAAGTGAGTAACATCGTTGTGGTCCTGCTGGTGTTAGTGTTGTGAGTGACCTCCGTTTAGGGAAAGCAGCAGTGTGTACCTAGGCGGAAGTTACTGGGTTTGTGTTCCTGTACTGTGGTAGTGTGTGTGGTGAGAGTGTATTTGGTGCACTGTTGTCTACGGAGGTAGGCAACAAGACAACACCAATCTTCAGAGTTCCTTCTCTGCTGATTGTGGTCATGTTGGTAGTAGTACACGCGGTGCGTGTATCATGGCGCCCACCGGTATGTACAACCCCAAAGACGTGGGAGATTGGTGAGTGGTTTGTGATTTTGATGATTGTTAGTTTTGGTTGTGTTGACCGTATTTTCATCAGAGGAATTTACGTACTACTGGTTCTTAACTGGAACTGGGAGGCATAGCCTGAAACCGCATCTGGCGATTGGATTCCGCTACAATCCTGTTACGGAGTGGCGATCCACAGGTTCCTTAGAGAGACACCGTGTGGTACCGTTCCTAAATAGATACGCGAGGCAAGAGCCTGTACGGCTGACCTTTTTTAGTTTATAAAATTTCTTACGTTTAAAATACATAACATCTTCCTATGTATTAAAGCAGAACTGCCTCCAAAACGTTCTGATTGGCCAGAACCAGCCTAACCTTTCTGATTGGCCAGAACCCGCCTTGCGGGTTTTAAGCTTTTGCAGCCCCTCAAACCTGTGCTTCTGCGCGTTTGTCCTTACCAAGTTTCGGAAACTTAGTACCTTCACCTGTGAAAACCTTCGACTGATAAACCGGATCCCAGCTTCAGCATTGCTCCTTATTAAGCTTCCAAACATTAGTTCTTTAAGAAACCTGATAACTTTAATCTACTTACCGGAACCGTCTTTTAAGCCTTTAGTAACCGAAAATCCCGCGTGCGGTACCTGCCCTTTTAAGCCTTTGGTCACGAAAGGCTACGCGTGTAGTAACCGCCTTTTTGAGCTTGGTCACGAAAGGCTACGCGTGTAGTAACCGCCTTTTGAGCCTTTGATCACGGAAGACCACGCGCGTGGTACCCGCCATTTTGAGCCTTTGGTCACCGAAGGCCACGCGTGCGGTACCCGCCTTTTTGAGCCTTTGGTCACCGAAGGCCGCGCGTGTGGTACCCGCCCGTTTGAGCTTTTGGTCACAAAAGGCTACGCGTGTAGTACCCGCCTTTTTGAGCCTTTGGTCACCGAAAGCCAGGCGTGTGGTACCCGCGTTTTTGACATTGATAACCGAAGTCCGCGCGCGTGGTACCCGCTTTTTTGAGCCTTTTGGTCACGAAAGGCTACGCGTGTAGTGCCCGCCTTTTTGAGCCTTTGCTCACCGAAGGTCTCGCGTGTGGTACGTTTTAACCCTACGGTCACCGAACGCCTTTTAAGCCTTTGGTCACCGACGGTTTTCTAAGTCTTTGTCCACTGAAGGCCTGTTAGGCTTTTGGTCACCGAAGGCCTTTTAATTTAAGCCTTTGGTCACTGAAGGCCTTTTAAGCCTTTGGTCACTGATGGCGTTTAGACCCACACTTTTAAGCCGTTTGTAACTGTGGGCCGCGTCAGCGCGGCGCATAAGCGCCGCGCGTCCTGCTTGTCCAGTTTATTAAAGCAGGATTCTCTGTGCGAGACCGATCCCGCCTCCAAATCTGATTGGCCAGAACCAGCCTTACGTTTCCGATTGGCCAGGACAACCTTTCGGCCTTCACGCTTTTAACTCTCACTAAGCTTACCAGTCCTACCTTTAGCCTTAGCCTTACTAAGGTTTCGAAACCTAAGTACTTTAGAGCCACCATATCTACCAGATCAGCCAGAACTACAGATCAGCCTGAACTACCAGATTAGCCAGATCAGCCAGAGCAGCAAGATCAGCCAGAACAACCAGATCTACCAGAACAAACAAATTAACCATTTGATCAGCCAGAACAACCAGTCCTACCTTTCAGCCTTTGCCATGCTAAGGTTTCGAAACCTTAGTGTCAATACAAACTTTTGCTTGATTAGCCAGAGCTAACAGATCTACCAGATCAGCCAAATAAACCAAAACTACAAAAAGCCAGAACTACCATATCAGCCAGAACTACTAGATCAGCCAGAACTACCAGATCAACCAGAAATAGCAGATCAGCCAGAACTACCACGAGCTGTAAAGCCCTTTAGACTTTTTGATTTCATCCGATGAACTAGATACTCCCTTCGGCTTGGGTCCTTACTAAGCTTCGAAACCTTAGTACCGGATTTCCCAGACCAACCAGAGTGCCAGATCGACCAGATTGCCTGATTAAACTTTACATCCAGACCAATTCTTACAAACTTTTCAAAAACTTTGAGGACCTACTTTTTTAGGTTTTTGGTCTCCAAAAATCATGCGTGTGGTACCCCCCTTTTAAAGCCTTTTATAACCGAAGGCCACGTGTGCGGTACCCACCCTATTAGGCTTTTGGTCACAGAAGGCCACGCGTGCGGTACCCGCCCTTTTAAGCCTTTGGTCACCGAAAGCCACGCGTGCGGTCCCCGAACTTCAAAACCTGTGTTCAACGAAGGCCACGAGTGCGGTACCCGCCTTTTTACGTTTTTGGTCACCGAAGCCCACGCGTGCGGTTCTCGTCCTTCTGAACCTGTGGTCACCGAAGGCCACGCGAGCGGTACCTACCTTTTAAAGCCTTTCGAAAGCTAATGTGTTTGTGTTTGCTTCTTCAGGCTAATCTTATTGAGTTTTTGATAGACGTGCTTAGCATATAAAGCTGTTTTACCTGAATTCGTTGTTGCAAAAATCACCAGCTGACTGGAACAGCCTTTGCACTGCAGCGCGGCGCGTAAGCGCCGCGCGCTGTGCTTGTCCAGTTTATTAAAGCAGGACTCTCTGTTCGGACAGATCCCGCCTC